GCGGCCGCATTTTGCCCCGCAGCTTCGTGCGATTTTCCCCGCGTCTACTCAATCCTGTTTTTTGAGGATTGAGTAGACGCGGGGGAAACTGCATGAAGCTGCGGGGCAAAATGCGGCCGCGCAGCAGCTTGTGTGAAATTGACACGTCCCGTCGGGGCAAAAGGGAGGAGTGAGCGTGTAGCAGCGCTTGTGGGAAATCACCCACAGTAAAATCCAGTTGGAAAGTGCACTGAAAGTGGATTGAAAGTGGATTATTCAGTGTTTGTGTGACGGCAGCCCAGGCTTCCCTGCTCTAGCCCAGTATTACCTACTTTGGTTAACCGTAGCTCACAGGGGGTCGAAGACCAAAGTCCTTCCTAGCTCTACTCCCTGAGGGCTGAACCTGAGACTTTTGGCATGTGAAGTGTGTGCTCTGCCACTGAGGCGAACCCATGCTATATGTCCCACCTTTAGAAGGGATCTAAATCTGGTTCTCCCAAGTCAGAGCCTTAGTCTTTGACCAATGGACATCACTGGGTGTTTTTCTTGACATATGTCTAGATATTTTATACATTGGCACAAAGGAAAAGTAAATAAATGGAACTTACTTTTTCTCCTTTCTCTCCCTGGAAGCCCAACCCCATGTTCCCCTGTAAATAAAGAAATAAAACAAAAAACAACAAAGAAACCTATATTTTTTAAAAAGAATCTTGTGAAGTGTTTCATGCATGAACAAACCACAGAAGACCCAAAATGGAATCCTAAGAACAGACCAGTGAGGGAAAAGAGCATTTAATTAAAGTATAATTAACTATATCATTCAAGAACAATGATGAACGCTGACCACCTTTCAGTGAAGTAACTATTGTCAGACTCTCGCAAGCTTCAGTGTAGCAATCACTATACACTGACTTACTGGCTTGTTTCACATGCAAGGGAAAACCATGGTTTGTGTATGCACTGGCGGAGGGGATCTTCAACCTTATGGCTTCTGTGCACAATCTTGTTCTATCCCACAGGGCCAGACAACTAGTGATTTCCACTTTCCAAGGCAAAGCACTGTTCGCCATTACATCTATATCATGATGCGAACTATGATTTGTACTTTCCC